TATTATGTTTAGAATTTATTATTATATCGAAATATGAATGTTAATCTGTCAGAGTGTGAATGAGTCCCTCTGTTAGTCGGAGACATTACATCATCACCTCGCTTCTTCTTCTCTGCACCAATTACATCATTATTACTGGTTTTCTCCATCGAACGGACCAATCAGCTTCCACCACGGTCACCGATGAATGAATGAACCCGCCCCCCCACACACCCTCCGTGTTTTCTTCTGATGATGATTGAAAATGTTCCTCCACATCTTCAGGACTTTGACTCTGAACACAACATCTTTTCTCATTTACTGAACTTTTAGACATTTTCAGTCTCATTTTCTTTTTCTCTAAAAAACTAAATTCCACCTTTAACTGTTTCTTGTCTTCAGTGCATCGATCAGTTCTGTGTTCGGACCGCAGCTCGTTTTATTCTTTTTCATTCTTCACTCTTTTATTTTTCATCTGAAACCAGGACTTCGTCACACGCACGTGAGCGGGTGCGCGCAGAGCGTTAGTTCACGCCTCTCGTCCCATCGGGCACGCTCGCACTCATTCACCCCCTCCACGCACACGCACACGCACACTGCAGTGTGCCAGCAGCAGCGTGGACTCTCCTCCACAGACACACCCACCTCAGACACACGAGGCCATTTTTCGCGCGTAAAACCACAAACACCCACAACAAAAAACAAGAGGAACAAACGAACACGTTAATTAACGACAACAATCAGCTCGAGTTCCACCAATCAGACACAGGCAGGAGGGTCACGTGTTGATGAAGACGCGTATTTTAAGGGAGGCGTGAAATCTGCTGCAGGAGCGCGCCAAACCGAGTCCCAGCAGCCAATCACAGGGCAGCATGGTAAACACAACCAAACCGGAAAAAGTAATAATAATGATAAATCTGATGATAATAATACTTATTATTATTATTATTATAATTATTATTATTATTAAAATGATGATAATAATAAAGATAATCACGATCCATTTAAAACATGTGGGTTCAAATGTATTTTAGTGTCATAATTAATGTGTTTGAATTTAAAACATAGAAACAGGAAACAAATCCTTTTCATTTCTCTCTGTCTGTCTCTCTCTCTGTCTCTCTGTCTTTCTGTCCCTCTGTCTCTCTATCAGTCGTTCTGTCTCTATCTGTCTCTCTGTCTCTCTCTCTCTAACAATAGCACTGAGGAGGATTCTGCGTCTTGAATAATTCAGCATCTCTCTAATAACACGCACGCGCGCGCACAGCCTCGTTATGCAATGCAACAGCAGAGAAGCATCACCTCATGTGTTTTGTTGGTTCCAGATATTAGACGGACCCGGGGGGAGCAGACTATCTCCTGCTGCTGCTGCAGTGAAACACGGGGCTGATTTATCTCGAGAAATAAAATGAAACGTGCGAGGTTTAAATCGTGCACGATGCGGGTGCACAGAGGCTTTTACGCGCATGCACATCGAATATAAAAAGGTTTTTTCTGAAAATTTCGTTTCGTCTGTTTCTAAAGATCCGAGACAAGAAATGATAAAATACAATTATACAAAATAAAGTCAAATCAAACCAGCTGCGGATGTTCAATCGAAATAAAAGTCGTGTTGAGGCCGGTCACACTTTTCATCCCCGGGTTTTATTCCCGGACAGCAGGTTTGACGGAGCCGCTGCAGCCCCGCACTCATCCCGCACAACCCGCACAACAACACAAGCACCGACAATAACCGACAATAACCGACAAGCGCCGATGTTTGGACGTTTTCGTTCCTCCGGATGAACCGAGGAGACGAACAGTTCGTTTCCCTGCAGCGGCTCTGGAACCATCGGATCCAAATCAAACCTCAACTGAACCGATCGAATGAAACAGATTTCAGTGTGTGAATGATCCAGATCTTCAGTTTGGGACGAACCGGGGGGGGGGGGGCATTCCCCTCGTTAGCACACACTCACATGCACGCACTCGTGTCACGCACACACTCCACATGTGAAGAGTAGCTCCGTTTGAACGGGTCCCCACAGCTCCGTTAAAATGAATAACAGCAAATAATTAAAATCATGTGAATCATCGTCATCGTTATTCTGAACGAATTTAAAAGTGAAGATGAAAATCAAACGATGTGTTTTCACCCGGAGCAGAAATAAAGTGTTTGAAATGAAATCAGATAATTAAACGTGTTGAACTGAAGCAGCTGATGAAGAGTTGGTCCTGTAACAATGAGAAGTGATGAAGATGAAGGTGAAGACTCACAGATGTGCAGAGACAGGAAGACTGAGACACATCTGGAGCAGCAGGTCACTCCCATCCTCTGCGTCTCTGCAGATTCACAAAGTTACAGCCGCTCAGCAGCTGCGCATTCTCCGCAAACCGTCCGCAAACCGCTACATCCACACTCCTCCTCCTCTTCTATTTATTCTTCTCTTTATTCTTCTCCTCCTCCTCTGCCTCTCTCTCTCTCTCTCTCTCTCTCTGCCTGCTCGTTTGTTCCTCTGCTTCTTCTTCTTCTCTCTCCTCCTCGGTCGAGCTCGAATCTGCGACTGCTCCTGTTTTTACTCCGAGAGAGAGAGAGAGAGAGAGAGAGAGAGAGAGAGGAGGGGCTCCCTCTCTCTCCACGACCAGACAAATAATAATAATAATAATAATGATAAATAATAATAATGAAAATAGTTATAATAATAATAATAATAATAATAATAATACATGTCACCGTAATGAATTGTTATAATAAATAATAATAATCATTTGATTAACAACTGATTCGTTACAAGTTTGAACCAATAATATTTGAAATAATTTCTCCTGATTGAAACGATCATTATATATTTTACACTCACTCATTTCCATTTTAGATGATTATTTATTAATTTACCAAACACACACACACTCTCTCTCTTTTCGTTGCCGTGTGTTTGTCTGTTTTACTTTATGTAGTTGTGTAGTTTTGTCTCTTTGTGGCAGGTTCGTGTTTATTTGTGTCGTTGTCTCTTGTCGTCACTGGAGTGAAGTTGTGTTGGTGTGTTCACTTCCATCAGCATCTGGTCGACGTGTGTTCTGAGAGACGGTTTAACATTTCTGTTAAATGTTCACTTCCAAAGTCCGCGCGGAGAAACACTGTGATACCAACGACAGCCTGCAGGCGGCGCTACAGCACAACTCTCACAGCGCAGACTTGTAGTAAAATGAACGAGTGGAAAGTATGAATGAAGAATGAAGCTGCAGCCTGAGGAGTGACATACGAGATCTGTGTGTGTGTGTGTGTGTGTGTGTGTGT